CAGACTCAAAGCTCTGTTACTTACCAAGATGAGGGCCAGCACAGAGAATGTGTAGTAGATGGAGTCTCGGAAGAGAGACCACCAGGTCAGTAGCACTGTCTGGGGACAGAGAGAGAGACCCGGTAGTAGACGACCCTCCCCTTTGCATCGATTTGCTAAACGATTAAGCTTAAATGAGACGTAAAGTCAGATTTTTCATTTTTTTTAAAGTGCCTTTTGCGTGCTCAAGTGGCTCGCACTGCTGTCTCACGAATCCTGGGTTCTGGGTTTCGATTCGGGGGGGGTTGAGGAACCATCTGGGTGGAGTTTGCATGTTCCCCCTGGCTGTGTGTCCTAAGACGGACTGGTGTCCCACTGAGGGTGCAGTCTTGCCTTGTGACCTGGGCTCCCGGGAGGAGATCCGGGTGATCCGGACCCCCTACCAGGAATTAGCGCCTTTCAGATAACGGACGCATTTCATGCTGCGTCGGGTATATAAAACAAGGTGAAGAAATCCAACCTTTGAAAAGGTTTTGAACACAAGTAGCACTGAAAAGTATCCAAGGGGTGAAATCCCTGGATTTCTCCGGTAGGAGCATTCCAAAGCCCAGCTTGTAGACGAACTTGGGGGCACATAGCCCTGCGTTACGTCTTAGATCTTAAGATCAATTCGAAACGCCACTGGCAGCCATTGCCGAGACACCAGAACAGGAGTGACATGAACAGCAGTTTGGGTCTTAGTCGGGTTCTGAGTTCCTAAACTGTTCAGACAGCATTTCTAGGATTAGTGAAATGGTTAGCGTGTTTTGCTTTTGGAATTCCTATGTGGACCACTGCTTAAGGTCCACTGGGGTCACCAGCTGGCTTACACTGTGTGAGGGTGACTTCACGTCTGGGAGTGGACTTGAACCAGGAAGCTCATGCTGCACAGTTTTCCTGCAGCAGAGGTTAATGAAAAGTCCCTACTTGAGCCCGGAGCTCATCCCATGGATCAGTATCAGAAGAGATGCTAGTCAAAGGCAGATGGGTCCCCCATCCCCCTGTAACCCTGGTACCCCCGATACACCTGGGTGGACTGGACCCTCACCCTCCTGGACCAGGGCTCACAGCCCTGAGCGCCGCACTCTTCCGCCCCCTACAGGCCGTAGGCCTAGACGGGCGCTACATACCTGTCCAGCGAAGAGGCCACACACGCCGATGATGACCAGGATGTTGAAGACGGCCGAGCCCACAATCGTCCCCACGCCCACGTCGCCCTTGGTGATGAACACACCTGTGGGCGGAGGAGGAGACAATGAATGAATGAATGAGTCTAGAGTGGCACTGTGACCCGGGGTTAAATTCCGGTCCTGGGGTGCTGTCTGTGTGGAGTTTGCATGTTCCCCCCATGTGAGCCTGGGTTTTTCCAGGTGCTCCAGTTTCCACCCATAGTCCAAAGATGTGCTGGTAGTATTTATTGTGCACAATCAATGCTGTGGAACAGGTTGTGCACTAAGTTATTCATTACAATATACTGTATACTGTGAACAGGGGGATCATGAATTTATTCATCTTCCTAAATGAATGCTCAACCCCTTTCACAGAATTTATCAGGCTGTTACAAAAATACCTTGGCACTGTTGTTAATCACAGACGAACCTTGGAGGAGAAAACACGTCATATGTAAGCAGATCCAATAGCCTTTGTTATTCTTGAGAAAACTGTGTTACGTCAAAG